AACCAAATGCTTGAGATCCTGCTGTAAGAGTTCACCTCCGAATTGCAACCAACTTGGCTGATGGTTTTACAGCCAGTATCTGGTCTTCAGTTTTCTCTTATAAAATACGGTAGTTAATTAAAAATACAAAAATTACAGTTGTGAGTTACAGCATGTCTGCCGTCCCACTTCTCCTCCAGGAAGGAAGTGCCTTTTTTTTTCCTCTCTAGGAAGACAATATTGTCCTATGGAATTGTTCCTGGAAGTCTTTGCAGAGCAAGTGGAATCTTAAGTGTTAAGGACAGTAAAAAGCAATAATAAAATGCAGTTACCTAAACACTTGAATTTTTCCTGTTGCCATAAATATTATTCCAATAAACAAAATGAAATATCAACTCCTAACTAGGGAGGGGCAAATAAGTCCCATTTACTGTGACTTTTAGGATTAAAACTGCTTATTTTTTGCTATTACTGTTCACTTTTTTTATGCCTCTACAATTCCTGGGAGTGTTTTTAGGAATAGATGCAGGCAAGCTGCCTGAATACCAACCAGTACAACACTACTACCTCCAAATGGCAGATGGTGGCAGGTTCACAGTTTACATATAATGTTCTATTAAACATCGAGAATAAGTGTATCCCAACAGAAAGTGAAGCTTTTGAGGTTTGCTCATCCCTCATTTGTAAGTTTTTAAGCTTATGGACTAGGTTCACCCACATATTACATAGGGGAAAGTCAGACTTGAGGTGCTTTCTGAGGCATAATTCATGTGTGACTCTTGCAAAGCTAACCCATGCAACCTCACAAGTGGCTAGAAAAGAGGATGAGGCAACCATTAATTGCTCTTTAAAGCTGTCCCTCACTGGCAGAACCCCTCAAGGAGAACCACACTATGTGGGAAACACCATGTGAGAAGTTTTGGAACAAAACCTGAGTGACAAAGCGTCATGAGATTTTTCAAAACTGAACAGAGGCAGAATGGGGAGGAGAGTCTTCCCTATTTACAGGCAATGAGGTTGGCCACATCCCCAGCATTGCTGCCTGATCTGCCAATTGTGGGGCCTTGTAAACATTGGTGGGACCAATAAGAAAATCAAGCTCATCTATTAAGGAAGACAAATGGAGAGAGATGGGAAGGCAGAAAGGTCTAGGACAGAGGAGGGGCTACCGCCCATTCCAGGCTGCCTCTAAAGAATCTGTCAGGGAGACAAAACCTGCAAACCCTGGACTATGAAGACTTGTAGACTCATTTGAGGTTAAGTTGATGGACGGGGCTAATTCAGAAAGAATAAAGGGAAACCAGTCAGACGAGTTAGGAGGGAGATATGATTGCTGTCTATATACTCATTAGGGAGATAAATACCCGCAAACAAGAGGATTTAAGTGCCTCGTTGGACACAAGAATAAATAGTATCCACTGCACATCAGTAGCTTTAGGCTTAAAATTAGAGAAATGTATCTAACCATTAGAAGAGTTAAGTTCTGACACAGCTTTCCATGGGAAGTACAGAATCTTTCGAAACGGGGCATTTCTGATGAAAATGCCCTGTTTAAACTGCTGTTTGTTTTGAAAAGTACCATTTCGAAAAAAAGCAGCAGCCGCCATTATGCAAATGAATCATGGGATATTTGCATCCCGGCTTCATTTGCACTTTCAATAACATCTGATTTACATCCCTCTGCTGGGTGAAGGGTATAGTTTAGACACACCCTGAGTTACAGCAAATTCTTTTTCAGGGGTTTGGTGGGGCTTGCCCACTTGCTGAGGGTCTAACTGATTCCAATATTTGGGAACAGTAAGGAATGTTCCCCTAAGTCAGGTTGGCAGAGAACTTTTTTTTTTTGGCCATCTATGTAATATAACAAGTCTTGTCTTACTGGTGTCACAAAGGTACTCTTGAGTCCTCGGTATTTAGGGGTTCTCTTCTTCCTCATATATCACTGTTACTTGTTTGAATGCCCAGTTCAAAATCTCATTGTTTCTTTGATCCACGCTGAAATCTGAGAATTCTGTTAGCTTCTCTGAGTCCAGTTGCAGAGGAGAGGTCATGGAGTGTCTGTTCATCAATGGCTATTACACAAGGTGGTCAATAATTCAGCTCAATGCTCAGGCACCCCTAAACCTCTGACTTCCAGAAATTGAAGCTGGATGAAATGAATTGGATAACTCGATAATTTCCCTCTTCTGTTCATTCCCTCTGAAGTATCAGGAACCATCCATGGTCAGGAGACAGAAAACTGATCTAGATGGACCATTGGTTATGGCTATTCTACTTTCTTAAGAAGCTGACAGAGGAAAAAGGAAGACTGCAAGGAAGACTTGTAATTTAAGGGCAGATTTTGTTTCATTTTAGGTTAAGTTGATGGACTGAAGATGAATTGAAGGGGCCCAGTTAGGAGAAACCTGGGGTCTCTAGTGAGAACTGCTCCAAGAGCAGTTGACACAAGCCTTCCAGTAGCCTTTTGCTGAGATCTTTCTTTGCTACTTGATGTGAAACCCAAAGAGAGTCAGAAGATTTACCAAAAACTCTGTTCTTATCTCTAAACCTTTTTCTTATTGACTTTATACTACTGTGACCACAATTTGTGTCCCTCAAAGGAAATACTGACTACTTCATTTAAGTCTGTGTTCAGTCAAGTCAAGACATAACGTGGTGATCTCTTTTCTGCTGTGTTTACATTCACAAAGAGAGAGCCAACAGGATGAATCAGCCATGGGAACATAGCCCTTAAAAAGCCTCTCCATTAATTTATGTGGAGTAATGAGTTTGCTACACTTTCAGAGCTGATGCAGTATCTGACTTGAGTATTATTTTGCATGCATATGAGAGAGAGCTATCATTACAGTCAGCTGAACCCTCATCTCTACCCAATAAGCACTGGGCAAAGCTGAAGGATGCAGCTGCCAAGTAGTTCGCAGCTCCCCAAACCAGGGTCAGGTCCTACCCCACTCTAAGCCCCAGCATAGAGGCCGCGGTAATCTGCCAGATTGTGAAGTCCTTACAAGGCAACTCTTGCATCTCTCTTTGCACTAAAATGGGTCAGACACTTGGTTCGTTGCATTTGTTGCTCATTGCATGCTGATACTGTGCTTGGTACTTCATGGGACAGGTAAGAAAGTTTTGTTTCCTGCTTTGAGAAGTTCACTCTCTATGGGTCCAATGCTTCATGCGTTTTTACCAATCATCTAGCTTCTGAGCTGATGAAATCTTGTTGAAGCTGAAGCAGCCACTCGGTTGTAATAAACACTGCATCTGGCAAATAGGTATGTAGGACCAAGCCGTAAATTAGACATCATACAGCCTAAACGTAATTTTATAGAGACCTGTTATAAACTGAAGAAAAGAGCAGTCTGTGATTTTTGTTTGCTTTCCAATACGTCACGTGCTCATGCTTTGGTGGGTTGCCGTTAAAGGTTATTAAAAGGCCAAATAAGAAGTGTTTGAGAAACTTGTCTTCCTAAATTCAGATGTAAAGTCCTGTGCTAAAGGATTCATTAAAAACAAAGAGGTAACAGTGAAGCAGTCCCCTGTGGTGTGCTGGATTAGTATAATGCTTCATTGTGCTTTGCTTTCCTAGTCACCACGTGCACCACTGCAAAAGTAAGAGTGCACAATGGTGATATTTTTAACTGCATCATGCATATTGTTGATTTATTCTTTGTTCTGAATCATTATCCTTTCACCAATGAGTTCATTACATTGTTTTCATATACTTAGTCAAGCACCAAATTATGAAGCAAGGCCAGGCCCGTTATGGTACATTGCATAAGCAATTATTGCTATTACCTATTATTTGTTGCTTCCAGCCAATGAGGTTTCTGTATTAATGGAATGTTCACAAAACAATTATGAAGTAGGTAAGATTTGGGCAGTCTAAATTTTGCCCTTGAAATTGCTTTGCTTCATTTTGGCCACCTGCTGGCAGCCAATGAAAAAAATGTTCCATTGTTGCAATGAGCATATCGACTCAATCAGTTGTAATGAGGTCAGATTACCGAATGATTATCTGCTACCTTAATAATTAAATTGAATCCACACTTCTGCTGCCCTCTCTTTCTCTGACAGCTGCAAGAAATGTGGCAAGCAGGAGCAGTAGCAATGGAAGTGCTGTAAACACCAGCACCTCCCACGTACTCCTCTGACTAATGAAAGCCATGCTTTAGTCTGCGTTGTCGTAGAAACACTGAGCCATAAGAAAGCGTGCTAACACAAGCACTTGGACAACACTTGACAATAAGTGGCTTAACAACACATTAAGCAAGAAATTAAAGAAAGGATACAATGTTAGACCTCTTGCTCAGCCTGTAAGAAATAAATATATAGAAGTGGACACCATTTCAGTGTTGTATATGTGAGTGTTTCCTTTTAACACTGCTGGAAATTGTGTGGAGATGGAGCACAAGTGGATATGACTTTCTACACAGACTCTAGTTCTGTGGGAGTTGCATTGCATGGCAGCATAAAAAAAGTCCACTTATTGTGAAGTGCTTCCACTATAGGACTTACAGTAGAAAATTCATGATTTCTCTTTTTATTGTTTATGGCCCATAATATGTCAAGATTTGCATTTGCTTCACTGATATATAACTGGGAAAATAATTAGAAATGTTTTGGGGAGGATTGTTGTTTCATTACATGATAAGGTCTATGTCATAAAAAATTAGAAAATCTTAATCGGAATGGAGGTGGAGAGAGAAATATGACTCTGGAATGGACTAGATAATATAGCATATACATGTATAAATAATAATATTTATTAATAAATTCATTAAACCACTTGGCCAAATGATTTTGGTTGTAATAGTCTTTTACAGCATGATGTGAGAGCCCATATGTGTTTTCAGTGTCAAAGTATCTTCTAGGATTGTTGGTTTCCTTTGATGACTTCAGGTGTTAGAGAAGCATCAGGAAAAGTCTAATGCTTCCCTTTTCAGCCAACAGCTTATTTTACCCTTTGTTATTTGCATGCGTGTGTGTTAGTTTTCACTGAAAAAGTAACTGTCACTTTTCTGTGACAGGCACATAGTTGTCTGTGGTCACATAACACTTGAAAGCGTGTCCAACTTCCTGAAGGACTTCCTGCACAAGGACAGGGATGATGTGAACGTGGAAATCGTCTTTCTGCATAAGTGAGTAACTCTTCCAGCCAAAACCTTTCTTGCTCTTTAAATGGTCCAAACATGTCATAAAGGCTCCTTTTGGCCAGTCTGTATTGGTTTGAGGTAGAGCAGGTTAAGATGGGACTCTTAGGGTACTGCCTACATAGCACATTTATTTAGAAATAACTAACGTTATTTCAAAATAACAATCTGAGCGTCTACACAGCAATTCTGTTGTTTCAAAATAATTTTGAAATCTGTAAACCTCATTCCAAAAGGAATAATGCTTATTCCAAAATAGCTATTTCAGAATAGCAGTAGTGTGGACACTCCACTGCTGCTATTTTGAAATAGCTTCTCCCCAGGGCCATTCAGAGTAATTACACCCTAGTGCCTCCAGGGGCTCTAAATCGAGGTAGCACATCCACAGTAGGGAAGGCTGCCTCGGACTAATTTTGAGGCTGCCCTGTAGTGTAGACGTGCTATTTCGAAATAAGATATTTCAGAAAAAATTCCGAAATAGCTTATTTCAAAATAAGCATGTGGTGTAGATGTACCCTAATGGTCAAACTTATTCATGGTGTAACCTCATTTAGTTTCAGCTACGTTCAGTGAAGTTAGACCAGATAGGTATTTGACCCTGGAGGTAAAATCCTGACTCCTTTGAAGTTAATGGCCAAATTTCTGTTGATGTTAAAAGGACCAGAATTTCACCCTGGGTGTCAGTTTGTTTCTCTTCCACTAGATTTTTATACATTTGGGATTATGAAGGCTCTTGAATTTCAGAGTGCCTGATTCTCATAAACTATTTTTGACCCTACCAGTCAAAATAATTTTGAGCCTTGATTTTTCCCATTCCTGTGAAATGTTAAAATACCCAAGATACAGCATGAAGTTTTGAGAAACTTATGGAACCAAACATATGTCATTGTGAACCATTATCCACACCAGTTCATCATGATGACCAAAGGCCAAGACTGCATTATGAAATCATACATTGCTGTTACAAGTTAAAAAGCTTTGTTGCACTTCACAGGAAGCTTTTGAAAGTGTGTAGTGTCAATCCATGAATACTTCCCAACCTTACTGTCAGTTGTTATTCTTCATTGGTTCCACATTTTCTAATAGTTCAATGCAATATATTTCGTTATTATTAGTGAGGCCTAAAAATAGTTTATAAGTATTTGTACCCATTATTAATCTAATCATAGGGTAGACACAATATCTTTCTATACGATAGTCTCAAGAACCTCCAGACAGTTACACAGAAATTTCTTTCCTTTTCTGCACAGTGGGCGAAATTCTGCCATCAGGTCCACAGAACTGCTTATATAGATTTCATTATAAGCCATATGCATCTAAAGAGATTACTTGGCCCCAAATTATTTTAGTTAAGCCTCAGCAAAGACTGAGTTCATCTGCTATGCAATTGTTAGGCTGTTCAACAGTAGTTTGTGTTGTGTTGTATCCTAAAGCAAGTGGAAACAGATTAGCCCTACCTTGTTAGTTAAAACTTGACACTTAAAGTGTGTCCTACTATTCTCAAAATTATGCTTCTTCAGAAGAGGAGACCTGACCAAGGATATTTTATACATGTAGTTTATAAATTAAGAAAACAAATGCTGTGTGAAGAAGAAAAAGTATGGATCTAATAGGGAGTACAAGAAAGAAATAGTTTACATAAATTTCAAATTATTTAGTGATTGATAATTACTAAAGGATAATGAATTTAATACGTATATTTGAAATTTTGAAGAAATGAAAACTTGAGACAGTTGAGACCATCCCAGGTTATCCTGATCTGAGCAGACTATTGGCCAACACTGCAAAACAAATGGAATGTTGAGAATGAAATCTTGTTTTCCTGTTGGCTACCCCAAGTGTTCTGTTCCCACCTACTAGTACACTTAACAGTACAGGTATTTGAAACTATTAGACTTCAGACCTCTGCTCCTCGTATTAAAGAAAAACTCAATTATTCAGTTGTTTGTTACTAATTTTATTGGTAAGTTTATTTTAAAGAGTGCATCGTACTCAGAAATAAGAAATAATAGATAATAAAAACATTAATAAATAGTGTAGAAGTTTTCTTTGGCCATGGATAGTTCTATGTTTAATTTATGGAGATTAATTTCCATCATGCAATCTATGGAGAAAACATGTTAGAAACTCCCATTCATAGGCATATGCAATTATCTATCTCTATCTCCAACTTTTATGCCTCATCAGTCTAACAGTTGCAAGCTGAATTGCAGCAAAGCTGTGTTCTCTGATTCTAATGACATATTTCAAATATATGCTCAAGTTTACCTAACGATGTGCACAACTAGCTGCTTTTCCAAACACAAACATCATGAAAAAAGATTTTGCTGCATTTAATCTTCTTACCAGGCAATTGCGAACTTGCAGACGATGAGTACAGTTAACTAGTTTTATGTAAATTTACAGAAATTTCCCATTCCAATGACTTTGTGAAAAGATTATTGGATTCTGAAATTTTGAAAAATGACTGGAATCCCTCTGTAACAAGAAGTGCTCTATGATACATTGCTGCTTTCCACGCACCCCTTTTAGCTGCTCCTAGAACCTGAACAGTTAGGGAGGTCCAAGATGCACTTTGAATTGTAAAAATGAATGAGATGAGGAACACTGATTGATACAATTCATGTAGATCTACAAACCCAGTGCAGTCACCTCTGGTTTTACTGTATTGGTCTATATTTGCTAGCAAAACAACAGTGTAACAAAAACAAAACGCTGTCGAACCGCTGTAGTGATGTTGCAAACTGATAGAAATACTCTATCTGGTAACATTACTGATCATGTTTAACTCAGGTATTTCCTGGCAAGTAAGGACTGACTGGACCACAATTTCTCCAGCCAACCATTAGTTGCCTGGGAATACCCTTCCCATCAGAAATTTTGCTGTAAGGTAGTTGCTATTTGTCACTAGCATCCCATTACACACAATTCAGTATCAAATTGGCATGTCTTAGGGAGAGGCTATTAGAAACAGCTATTTGCTTGAGAGAAATATGGTGTTAACTGTCTGTTCCTATCGAGAGCAGTATGCATTTCTACGCGCCATGAGCTGTTATTGAATGAGTGATATTAACGCGCTTAACAAGAAGCAATGCATTTTCCGTCCTGTCAAACCAAATGATTGAAAGGTTAAGAGTCATTTGTGGTGATTGGATAAAGGAAGTTGCCAATGCATAGAGTTGCTACCTGCCTGATTTTATACTATTGCCATTAAATTAGATGAATGGATACAGCTGATATCCCCGGTAACTGCTTGTGTTTTATTAGGGTAAGCAGGAGGTTCCCTTTTAAGAGATCACATGGAACTGAATTTCCAAAAGGAAATGAATTGGAGGTTCGGGAACATAAAAAAATTAATACCTCTAGAATGTATTAAGTGTTACTAAGTCTGACCAATGTGCATCCATAGTTGCATATGCACTTTCTGCAGTGGTGTACAGAACTCTGGTTACTGTTTGTGCACATGGGTAACTAAGCACTTCCTACCCATTTGAGCATGCATTTGGAGAAATGGCCCACACAACCACAAGTAAACTTTTTTTTAAAAATTGAATTAATGCTCTTTACCTGGCAAGTAAATGTTTGCTAGTTACCAAGGGCATGTCTATGCTAGGAAATTATTTTGAAATAGCTTATTTTGAAATAACTCCTGAAATAACTATTTTGAAATAAACGTATTCCCCAAGGAAAGTAGGAGTTGTTATTTCAAAATAACCAGCACCTTATTTCGAAATAATGGGCTTGATAGGGAGGACACTTTGCTTGCTATTCTGAAGTAAGGGGAGTTATTTCGAAATAACTCCCTAGTGTAGACCAAGACAGAGAGATCAGAAAAGGGGATGGAGGTGCAGTAGTCTTGTAACCTTGTCAGCATCTCTCCTCAATTCAGACACCATGAGGTTTGTTTCACTCTCTGCTGTGTAAGTATTCTGTCTGAGTGACATATACGCTGTGTCCATACTGCTTGGTACAGCTGAGATACAAGAATCCTACACAATAGCAAAGAGGAGGTCTATATTGGCACTGGTATTATTTATTAACTTTATGGCTCCTGGGTTAATTAAGAAACTCAAACCTAGAAAACAAGAGCAAAACTATTCATCACACATAGGCTCTTAGTAACATGAATTCATACATAGAAGAGGAACACTGATCCCTAAAAACTCCTCTGCTTTGTTAGGAATCTGTCCCTGGAGGCACTTAAGACCAAAGGATGCAAAAGTAGTAGCTTATTATTTGAGTTCAATTCATGATGCTCTTTAAAATCTACCCATTGAATTGGCTGCTCACTCAGTCCAGACCATACACAGTTATCTATCTGCACTTTGATGCACTGCCACGAGACTGTGTAATTCATACAGTAAGTTAACAGTCACCTACAGGACCTGATAAAACCTCTAGATTGTATTAACTGTTACTAAGTCCATTTGTTCTCATTCTGTCATATCATTTTTGACCAGTGTTATTTTCCCTTAAGTGGTCAAATGAAAAAATAATCCACATACTTAGCTCTCTTATGCTACATTCAGGGAAGCTGGTTTTAGTTCCTTTTGGTGGGCCACATTCACTGTTGATGTGGGGACATATGTAGTAAAAGGAATGGAGCTGTGCCAAGAAAAGGTGAGACCCATGGTTTTCACCCTACAAGAAAAGCATCAATGGAATTCCAGAGAGTTTAAAAGTGAATTGAAGAGTAGGACAGAAATGTTGTGCAAACTGACTACTACTTTGTTCTTCCCCCCCAATGCAGTATCTCCCCTAACCTTGAACTGGAAGCTCTTTTTAAACGACACTTCACTCAGGTGGAATTTTATCAGGGTTCAGTTCTCAATCCACACGACTTGGCAAGAGTAAAGGTAATGATTCTGCTGATGTTTTATTTCTACTCCTTCTCTTCCCTTAAATAAGCAGCTTCTACCTCCAATGCAGTGTCCACTGAAGTAAATGGGAATCTTTTAATTGACTTTAATAGGAGAAGTCCTATGATCGTTAACATTTAACATGTTAGAAGTTGATGTTACAAACACTGTTGACATGTTTACATTGGGGCAATTAGAAAACCTTTTTTACTCTTTTTCTCTTGCCTAGTGTCCTGAAAAAGCAAATAGAATTTGAGATATTTGCTAACTAGAATGACAGTACAGGTTGGACCTCTCTGATCCGGCACCCTTGGAGAGGTCCTGAACCATTCCTAGGTCCTGAACTATGCTGGCTGCTCCACTCCCAGGCTCCCAAGGCTGGGGCTCCTGCTCGCTGCCACCGGGGGTTTCCCGGGTTCTCCTGCCGGGGTAACCCAGCTGCCACCAGTCCTGCTCCGACATTACTGGCGCTGCTGCCTTTGGGAATTCCCTGGGGCTCCCCAGCCAAGGGTTCTCTGCTGCCGCCTGTCCCCACTACCTCCGGTGGTTCTCTGGCCGGAGCTGCCCGGCCATCCCAGCCCGAGTGCCACCAGGGATTCCCTGGGTTCCCCAGCTGGGGCTCCCCTGCTGCTTGGCCCCGTTGACACCAGCCCTGCCTGGCCCCGCTGATGCTGGGGGTTCTCCAGCCCCGCCTGCCCCGATAACACAGGGGAGTTCCCTGGCCGGGGCTGCCCAGCCTGCTATCACTGGGGGTTCCCCAGCTGGAGTCACCCAGCCATCACCAGTCCCACTGCCAGGGTCAGTCCTGCTCTCACCGGGAGTTCCCCAGCCCAGGGTTCTCTGGTCGGGGCAGGGCTCCTCACCCGCGCCTGGCCACGCTAACGCGGGGGAGTCCCCCGCCAGGCCGAAGCGCCCCAGCTGCCACGTGGCCCAGCCACTGCTCCCCTGCCCTGCAATCTCGCCTGGCTCCCGCTCCCCACCTCCAGGGTTCTTTGGTCCAGCAACATCTGTGGCCCTGCTGGATGTTGCCGGACCAGAGAGTCCTGGAATTGGGAGGTTCAACCTGTATTGGTTAAAGAAGTGTTTCTCAGCCAGTGGTACATGTACCCTTGGGGTACTCAAGAGAAGTCTGGGGGGGGGAGCACATCAACACAATTGAAATTTGGAGAAAACTCAGTTTTGTTTTAAGTTTTACAGCGCTGTATTATTTTTGTACTTTTTACACCCAAAAATTTCATCAGCCGCCCAGCTACAATTAAGTTGTTTAAACAAATGTGTTGCAATGGTAGAAAAAAATGGTGTGTGTCTGAAAACTGTAGATACAGGGGTACTTTAATTTTTTTTTAAAAGGGGTACTTTATTAAAAAAGGTTGAAAAACACTAGGTTAAAGCACTCTGTGTTAAATAATTTCATCCTCTTGAAGCAAACCCTGAAACTGGGAAGAGAAAAAGATACCAAACTTATATGCAGCATTACCCCATTGCATGCCTTTTTAATGGGACATAAACACACTTCTTAAATCATAAAGATCTTTACCTGATCTTAAGCTGTTCTACTGCATACAAATTAGGGGGTTTGCCTGCGCCAGCTACAAAAGCTGCTTGGTCCATTTTTACACAACATACTCTGAGCTGAGCTCTAATCAGCAGCATAAAATAAAGTTCTTGTAATGGCCATAAAATTCATTTTTGTTATCTTCTCTCTGCATCTTCTCTTTTACAGTGTGGGAACTGCCCAAATGTACTGAAAAATAGTCATTTTGTTATACTTTAAATCTGCTGCTTTATGCTAACGAGACTCAATGTTGATGAGTGTTAGTTTTACAATTAGATTGACCTTGCCCCTAAAATCAGTTGTCTATTGGGTTTTTTTTATGATGTTGTTTTCTAGGGACCCAAACTATGGTCCTGTTGTAATAGAGGTTAAATATCTCTAGTCCAGCACCCTTGGGACCTGATCAGTCCTGAAACAATCTGCCAAACCACAGGAGAGCAATATTGTCTCGCAGCATTACCAACACTTCCACTGCTTCCTGGGCTCTTAGCAGACAATTGGGGTAAATTAGAGCTAAATAACAGCACAGAACACTAAGAGCCAGGACTGGTGCTGTAAGCAAACTTTATGGGACCACGGGAAACTTGGCCACACCCGTGATAATTGGACATCCAGCTAACTAAAATCATGCTGGACCATGGATGTTGCTGGAGCAGAGAGTGCCGGACTAGAGAGGTTAAACCTGTAGTCAGTGTGCAAACAACAGAAAAACAGTCCCTGTCCCTATGGATTTAGGAGCTTGACCTACAACATGGAATTTTAAAACTTTGGCTGTGAACCTGTTGGTGCTTCATTTTTGGTATCTATGAAATAACAACCACGGCAGTAGTATGTTTAAGTATTGACCAACTATGAGTATTGTAATGTTTGGAATGTGTTTTGAGCAGTTTGAGTGATCAGTTCTATGTAGGTAGTGCCACTGACATCATAAGGAGTCAGAATCTACAGCATACCATCCGCTTTATACTCAGCAAAAATTACAAACTGTTGTTGCTCTTGGAAGAAGCACCTGTTTTGCTTTCTTAGAGGCCATGGTTATGATAAGAAGTTGGAAACAAAGGTTTATATTTATGATTGCTTTTTTTGTGTGTCTCAGATAGAGTCAGCAGATGCGTGCCTAATCCTTGCCAATAAATACTGCGCTGACCCAGATGCTGAAGATGCCTCCAATATTATGAGGTAACCTGAAGAGTTTTTGAGGGTGGTTGTCGTGCTCATTTATGACGAGCAAATTGCTGGTGTTAGGTCTGGGTGGGCTAACACCGGTCCATGAGCCAGATCCAGTTCCCCAGGCTTAAGCTCTGACAGGCCGCCATTGCTATATTTACCTGCATCTCCACAGGTACGGGAGATTGCAACTCCTGTTGGCCATGGATCGCCGTTCCGGCCAGTGGGAGCTGTAGGAAGCGGTGTCCTATTCAACAACACTTCCCACAGGCTGGGAATGGTGATTCATAGCCACTGGGAGCTGCAATTGCCTGTGCCTGTAGAGACCCACCAGGGATAACCCAAGCAAATCACCGCCATTTTATTGTTCACCCCGGTCTAGGTGGACCATACCCATAGCTTGCTTCATACTTGCCGATTTCTGTTACGTTTGAAAACTTCACACACAATTGCTTCCAGAGACAGGGAGTAAAATAATGAAAAGAGGAAGTGCTAGCCAAGATTACCAGAGCAGGTCAGCTACTTTAGCCAGTACCATTTATGTGGCCTCAGAGATTTTATCTGGAGAATGAAGGTGAAGTAGATACTCACATTAAAATTGCCTGTGTGCGCCCCGCACTTTCTACATGTGTTGGCAGCATCCTAGGGACCTTGCCATCTCAAACACCTTATCCTGTACTTTGGGCTCAAACGTATTTTTTATTCAGAACACAATATCCAGACTCTCTCAGCCTACTTACAGTCTTTTCTTCAACCGATGTATTTATTGCTTACAAGGAAAGTCCAGTTTTTCTCGTTACGGGTTCCTGTGTGTTCCTCTCTGGCAAGTAAGGGTAATGATATTTGAGAGAACCACCTTCAGGATTCTGGTTTTAAGGCAGTTGTGTTTATTGCTGTATCCCATAAAGAAGCCACCTATTCAGTGGGGAAATGAATTTCCCCTTATTTTTGTTCATCCCATGTTCTAGAAGAGTGGAGCTGAAAGGCCTTAATAACGGTATTGGCTCTCCGAGGCAGGTGCCTGCCGGGGATAGAGGGAGCAGGGAAGGGCCACCCAGAGAGTCAGGGAGGGGGACATGTGGGATACTCCATTTTGCAATTAAAATTTTGGCAGGGTGTCTGGGGTCAGTGCACCTTCTAAGTGCTACTATGAGTTCCCCATGCTCCTAGGCAGCAGAGGCAAAATACACAACATTTATAGTAGGAGCACTGGTTACTGCTTTCCAACCCTATTAACAAATGTCACTTGCTCTTCTGAAAACTAAGTCCGAAGAGTGTTGTTCTGCAGAATAGCTCCGTTTCATTTAAACAAGATTGCTAAGCCTGAAATTCTGGCTTTTGTATCCACATGCATTCATGAGGTTGGGTAAGTGGCAACATGGAACCCAGGCAGTAGTGCTCCGAGGAATTCTGTCAGTCTCAGGCTCCATCTACACTGTTTGTTTTTTGCAGAAGAGGAAATGGAAATGAAGTGCTCATTAGCAAATCTCATTTGCATATTCTCTTCTGATCCTTTTTGCGAAAGAGGTTTTTGGGAAAGGAAAAAAAAACGCAGTATAGACGGGGCCATTTGTTGGAAAATAAAACTTTTTGTGCAAGATCCTGTAAACCTAATTTTTTGTGGAATAAGGGATCTTGCACAAAAGGGTTTTTTTTCCCGAAAACTGGCCCCATCACCACTGCAGGTTTTTTGCAAAAACATCTTCTGCAAAAAGGATCAGAAGAGAATATGCAAATGAGAGTGTGAGATTTGCTAATGAGCACTTCATTTGCATTTCTTCATCTACAAAAAACAAACAGTGTAGCCGGAGCCACAGTGTGTAACACGGGCTCCCCCTGCACCTACTTTTAGTGGCAGCCAGTTCTTTTGGCCCTGTGCTTTATCTCCTTTTTGAGTTGAGGAACATGATTGTGTTGGCCAACTACACACCTAAGCTCTATTCTGCCTTCCTGCCATGAGAGTGGTCTGAGAAGAAGAGACTTGTTTTGCCTTCCACAGTTGCTGTGAATATTGATCTGAAATTGCTATTCTTGACCTCCCCAGCTAGTCACAGGCTATTAACCCGTGAAAACTGATAACCGTTCTAGTTAAGGAGACACGATGCCATTGTTTGTCTTGCATAACAAGGGAGTAATAAGGAAATTGCAAAAAGTAAGTCAAAATAAGAGTTCTTCATTGCTTTTATTTTGTTCAGGCAGCATTAGTTTTAAGGAAACCAGTCTTCCCCTTTTAAAATTAAAATGGAAAAAACCATTGAAATTATTTAATGCAATGAAATGGCCAGTATTACAAACTGATTTTATTGGCCTGTGAAATGAAATTGGAAAAGGCCATGTATTCTCTCGAGTGTGGGATGCCTGTGAAAGAAGGGTTTAAGTACCCTCGCTTTATTTTCCAAAGCCACGTTTGGGATGTGACGGGAGAAATCCTACTTTGATTTTAATTGCAATAAATAGATTAAAGAGCATTCCAGATGCGGATTGGTGGGTTCCTAAATGGATTCAGTATGTTTAATGTAATAAAATGCAGAAGTATTACTGGGAATGCGAGTGTGATTCAATAAAACTGATTTAATTAAACACTTCAATGGAAAAAGGGAAATTAATAGGGGGAGGGGAGCATCACACTTTTCTCTTTGCCCTTCAATTCTCCTCCCTCCAAAAAGAAAATCAGACCCCTTTATTCTCTAATCTCTGGAATAAGGCTGCAACAAGTATGCCCCATATGCCTGCAACATCCGGCATAGTATGCCGGCAGCACACCATTGTAATAAGCTATTGCTCTCAGAAGGTATGTCTACACTGCATACTAAACCTTGTCTCTGACTCGGGTTGGAGACTAAGGGTACGTCTATACTGCAACACTATTTTGAAATAACTAGCGCTATTCCGAAATAACTTAATCTGCGTCTACACAGCCAGCAGTTATTTCGAAATAGTGTCAAAATACTGTCAAGCTGGAGGACTTCTTACTCCCACTCCTGTAACCCTCATTGTCCAAGGAATAAGGAAAGTTGGAGGAAGAATCCCCTATTTCGAAATAAGTGCTGTGTAGACACTCCCAATTTCAAAATAAGCTATGCAATTGACGTAGCTCAATTTGCGTAGTTTCTTTCAAATTAAGCCCTGCAGCATAGACGCACCCTAAGTCTCCCTTTCATTCAGACACAGATCAATCTAATTTAGTCAGCAAGCATTGAGGACCTTGATGGTGGGGAGGGATAGGTCATTGCCCAAGTCGAGCTGTAGCATGGGTCCAAGCCCTGTGATTTTGCCATGTGGATGCTGGTCAAGCTGCAGGCATGAGTGACAATTTAGCATGGCTATGGGACCCAGGTTCAGGAATTGTAAATCCAGGTGTACAATGCAGTATGCTCAGAAACGCCAGGACCACAAACTTGAGTTTATGGGACCCAGGCTGTGTGCAATGTAAAGATACCTAGAGATACGTGGAATCTACCATGCTGCAAAAACTGCAGAGCCACAACATTTTTCTCCCCTTCAGTTGTTTTCTCTCCTTTTCCTGCCTTCTGTTAATAAGACAGAGCTCAATTTGCAACTCATGTCTGTGTGTTTAAGTTTGATGTGTGCTTCTTTTTCTTTAAAACTCTGGGGTTATTTTTCTCTTCATAACCTATAGGATACATATGCAGGGATTCAATCTAGTGCCTTGTCCGCTGTACAGGTTGGACCTACTTGGTCCAGCATTGTCCGGACCTGACCGGTCCCAAATGAGAGAATTTGCCAGACCAGGGAAAGTCTTAAGCCACTGGCCCCCAAATCCAACACCCATTGCTGGAAGGTTTCCCCAGCAGGTAACCCTGCCTCACCCTGGCCCTCCCCACCACACCTGGCTGGTCTGCTTGCCCAAGTACTGCTGGCTTCCTGGGCAGCATAGGCTCCAGCTCCTGCCGCAGGCTCTAGCCCCACACAACCTGGGGCAGCCGCAGGTCTGGAGCTCCAGTCCCAGCCCTGGCTCTGCACCTCCGGGGCAAGCTTTTTCCTCAGCCCTGCCCTCCTGGGGGTTGCCACAAGGACTTTGACCCTGCACTGCCATGGGGCTTCAACCTCATCCCTGCACTCCCAGGGGCTGCTGGAGGCTGCTGCAGGGCTCTGTCCCGGTCCTGTGCTGTCCCCAGCCAGGCTGCTGACCAATGCTCAGCCTGTCTGGCCCTCCTACTCATAGGCTCCCGGGCTCTCTGGTCCAGAAGCACGCATGGTGCTGCTGGAGCAGAGATGTTGCCAGACCAGAGTGTGCCAGATTTTGGAGATCCAACCTGTATTTAAGATAAAATTCAAGATATTTATTTCTCCCAGTAATTTTTGCCTGTATATTGTTGGTATCTTTCTGTGCACTATGTACAGTTCAGAGACACTATATTGTTCTGTAGAGAACAGTTGGGGATGATGCAGTCAGGTTGCAGAATGTTGAATGTAGACTCAGATTTTACATGCTCCTAAATTCAGGCCCGTTTGGATTAAGCCATAAAAACAGGAGCCATTTGCAAAATTCAAATCTGGATTCAGGTTTGGATTTTGAATACTTTCTAATTCAGGGTATTGAGATCTGGGCATTTGATTTGCACAAAAGACTAATGAAAATGCTATTGACAGTAAAAAAAGGAAGGGAGACCATTTAAGTGTAAGCCAACTGGGAAATTTGAACAAATAAACAGTTTAAAGAAGCCAGCTAGGATATTCATTGAAGAATCTATCCCTCATACATAAAAGATGAAAACAAGATTATCTGCTAGCATATTATTTATGTAACAAAAAGAGTCATATTGGCTGCCTTTAGGTACAACAGAGAGAACTTTCTTGTGAAATCCACAATAGGCAGAGCTATTTAGGCCACGTAGTTTTGTTTTATTTTCTTTTTTGTAAACCCTCATAATTTTTGGTCCCTAAAGTCTGAGTTGACTAACTTGTTAGCTCTAAAATTTAAACTGGTCTGTTACTCATTAAGATGCTTTCACAATCAAGTGAAAAATCAAATTAGTTTTAATTGTCGGATGCAAATAAATCAGTGACACAAGCTGCTCTCGGAGAATGTCCAATGTGTCCACTAGCTAAAATATTATTTTTTTCTTTATAGAGTAATTTCCATAAAGAATTACCATCCGAAGATAAGAATTATCACTCAGATGCTGCAGTATCATAACAAGGTAATGAGAAGACCAAAGGGACTCGCTCTTCAGAGACTTCTGCTACCACAGTCTCCCATACCCACTTATGTTGGTTCCATAAATTGGAAGTGTTTCTCTTTCCAGTAGGAACGGGTGTATACGAATTGTCATGGAATCCCATAAAAAGTTAATTCTGCTGTTTTTACATATGCCAGAGACCTTAGCAGAATGCTAAAATATCCGTTACCCTGGTATGCTGAGCTTCCCTAGCTCCAATTGATTTCAGTTGGTCTTACAAGCACATGTTTCCTGTGAAATAAGGCCAAGCTTGATTCACTAAACCATGTACAATGCTTTTATTATCTATTCAGATAGAGTGTATGGGAGTGTTTTTCAACCTGTGGTCTGTGGAGTCCTGGGAGTCTGCAGACGGTGGGTAAGATTTCCAAAGGGATTCGTACCTTCATTTCCCCTTGAATGATTCTTTGAAATATACATCAACTGTTGTGTTCTTTGTTCATCAACTATTATGTTCTATGTTGTGCTTTGCTGTGACACTCTGGTTAAGTTTTCCAGACCAGAAGAAGTGTTTTGTGTAAGTCCAAAAGCTTGTGTCTCACTCCAGTCAAAGCTGGTATAGTAAAAGATACATCACCATCTTGTTTCTGTATAATGTCAGTTAAAGAAATGTAGGCCTGCTCAAAGATCCACCTGGTTTTATACAGCATGGTTTCTACTGCCTGGGTTGTCCTCTGCACATACATAAGTGGAGGGCAGCTAATGTGCAGAATTTGGTCCACTTTCTTTTGTGGAACAGATTCATTCTATTTCACCCTCATTGGTAAGCATGTTGTTTTAAAAACATGTTTTTGCTTTGTATTTCTAATGAAAATTAATGAGGAAATGAAGGAAAAGACTCTTTACATGAGAGAAAAGACTCCTTACACGAGACTCTGCTTATTGGATTCTGAGAGTTAGAGAAACCATAAGAGTGCGGGTTTTATCATATTATTCGAGGGCTGAGTTTGTGGACATGTGATAACACCACTGCATTTCCACATTAGATTAGTTTAAAACCTGTGTTTGATTTCTGAGGTCTGTGTGCATTTCTTATCTCTCAGGGAGTAGCTGAGATTGCTGTAAGGAGTATACAAAGATTTGGGTGCAATGAAAACTCTGTAATACTCTATAACAACCTGAGCTTTGTCGCTGGGCCTTACAAAGCCTCCTATCAAGTTCCCAAGGGATATTAGGAAGTTTAAACGGAAAGGTGTGAAAGTGGAGACCTTTCCCATCCAGGAACTTTGTTGGAAATATTTTGGTTTGGAAGAATATTTATTAAACCCTCTATTTCAGTGATACTCAGCCTGAGACTTGGAAACTACAAGTGTCTCTTTAATTTGTCTTCCATGGCTATTGGCAGCACATGATATCAAAACTCTGTGTGATTTTAATTATTAACCGATCAGGATGCTTTTACTAGGCTATTAGCCAAGTGCAGAATATTTGGTCAATAGTTTTCCTGTGAGAATAATTATATATGTGATGAAAAAAATGAAGCAATGAGTTGACAGTACTGGAGCTCTTTTTGGTAATGCTGTTGACTTATTTGACTCCTGAATCACTGAGGTCTGAGTCGTAATCATATTTTAACCTTCTACAGGAGGAGCAGACCTGCACAAAAGGAAAAGATTAGCTGTCACCTGTTTGGATACTTCCTGTGTTAACAAAATGTGGGGAAAGCATTCGGGGTCCTTTACCTATATTTCTTCCTTCAGGCTCATCTGCTAAATATCCCAAGTTGGAATTGGAAAGAAGGGGATGACGCAATCTGTCTTGCTGAGCTCAAGCTGGGTTTCATAGCCCAGAGCTGCCTGGCACCAGGCCTCTCAACAATGCTCGCCAACCTCTTCTCTATGAGGTCATTCATAAAGGTAATGTCTTGTCTCATTAGAGTGTGTTAGCCTGGGATTCAACTTGGCACAGGGTCGAGTAGAGAGCACTGCTTAAACTCAAAACAGATAGGGATACATTATGTTGCTTGGTGTCTCTCTCTCTCTCACTCACTCACACACACACACACACACTTTCTCTCTCTCTCTCTCTCTCTCATACACACACACACACATACAAATTCTGTTCTATATTGGGCAGTGAGCCAGGTTCTTAAAAAAATATGTTTTTATTTGGCACATCTATGGCCATTAAATGATCGTTCAAAGCACAATCCATTTCAATTCTTTTTTTAGATAAACCACATGTTTATCTATCAGGAAAGCCTCTGCTGTTAAAACAAAAATATGATTTATATGTACCCCATATGGCAACAAAGCGCCTAGAGAAAAAGAATGATCACTTTGCTCTTTTACATCAAGTGGCCAGTGCACCTCTCACTGTGAGAATAAATATGGACCATGTGTTTGCACTGAAGCCCAAACCTCCTACAACATCACTCATTTATTTATTTCTCCTCTGTCACAGAGCCCCTAAGGGCGCATTTGCAAAAAACTTGTAGCGCCATGGTTCCTACCCTTTTGGGGGCAACCATGCCATCTCACTAGTCTAAGAGCTCACCTAAGTTAATTAAAAAAAATTTAGTAAAATGTTGTCGGTTAGGGTGTGAAAAAACACACTGCTGCGTGACATGAATTTCACCGATGGAAGCACCTGTGGTAGACAGTGCTCCGTGACTGGAAGACCTGCAACCACTGACATAGCTACTGCTGCTCGTTGGGTTTGGTTTAAGTATGCAGATGGGAGAACTCACTTCTGTCATCATAGACTGGCTACGTGGAAGACTTGACAGAAGCACAGCTGCAGCGATACAGCCGTGCTGCTCGAAAGTCTGTAGTGTAAATATAACTTGCCTTGGTGCTCCCTTCCTTTTATTCTGTTTTTAGGCGTTCTTGCTTGAGGTCGTGGTTGCCCAATGTCCAGTCCTGTGTTAGTGACCAGGGGCCAGGGCATGATGGAATGTGAGATGGGCTGTGATTCTTCAAGTCCACCACGGAAGTGAGCAGTAGTTTCCTAGAGTACCAAGCAGGAAAGCCAGGAAGACTGTGCCAGCTATGGTGCACATACAGGTGGTTGGGAGCCCTTGGTACAGTGCCTTCTGATATTTATTCTCTTGGCGTGAAGTAGCAGCTGGGGTTTCCGAGACTGATGTGAGGAGCTTTTTGGAGTTCCCCAGAAAATAGATCTTCATGGGGTTCTGGACTCTGTGCAAGAAACCATCTTCGATTAGCAGAAGTGGCAAGAAGAATTTGGTTCTGGACTCTGTGCAAGAAACCATCTTCAATTAGTAGACGTGGCAAGAAGAATTCAGCTTTTCAATATGGAAGCCAAGTTCATAGAGTCATAGGACTGGAAGGGACCTTGAGAGGTTATCAAGTCTCGTTCCCTGCCCTCATAACAGGATTAAGCAACATCTAGATCATCCCTGACAGGTGTTTGTCTAACCTACTCTTAAGTATCTCCAGTGATGGAGATTCTACAGCCTCCCTAAGCAATTTCTTCCAGTGCTTACCCACCCTGACAGTTAGGAAGTTTTTCCTAATGTCCAGCCTAAACCTCCCTTGTGGCAATTTAAACCCATTGTTCCTTGTTCTATCATCAGTGGTTAAGGAGAATATTTTTTCTCACTCCTCCTTGTAACACACTTTTAGGTACTTGAAATTTGCTGTCAATGTCCCCTCTCAGGCTTCTCCTTTCCAAACTAAGCCAACCCATTTATTTCAATCTTCCCTCATGCACTCTATACTTTTAATCATTTTTGTTGCTCTTCTCTGGACCTTCTTCAATTTCTCCACATCTTTCCTGAAATGTGGAACCCAGAACTGGACACAATACTCCAGTTGAGGCCTAATCAGCACAGAGTAAAACATAAAAATACTGCTTGTGTCTTGCCTACAACACTTCTGTTAATACATCCCAGAATAACGTTTGCTTTTTTGGTAACAGCATCACGTTGTTGACTCATATTTAGCTTGTGGTCCACTATGACCCTTAGATCCCTTTCTGCAGTGCCCCTTCCTAGTCACTTTCTATTTCTGCAATTGTCTTAAAGCAAACCTGGGCTCCTCACTTTAACTTAGAATCGTAGAAAATGAGGGTTGGAAGAGACCTCAGGAGGTTAGCTAGACCAACACTGTGCTCAAAACAGGATCAACCTCAACTAAATCATCCCAGCCAGGCCTTTGTCAAGCCGGGTCTTAAAAACCTCTAAAAATGGAGATTCCACCTCCTCCCTACGTAACCCATTCCAGTGCTTCGCCACCCTCCTAGTGAAATATTTTTTCCTAATATCCTACTTAGACCTCCCCCACTGCAACTTGAGACCATTGCTCCTCGTTCTGTCATCTGCCATCACTGAGAACCACCTCACTCCATTCTTTTTGGAACCCTCCTCCAGTTAGTTGAAAATTGCTATCAATTCCTCCCCTCACACACACACACTCTTCTGCAAACTAAATAAGCCAAGTTCCCTCAGCCTCACCTCAAAAGTCATGCGCCCCAACCTCATAATCACTTTTGTTGCCCTTCTCTGGACTCTCTCCAATTTGTCCACATCCTTTCTGGGGGGCGGGGAACACAACTGTATGCAGTACTCCAGATGTCGCCTCACTGGTACTGAATAGAGGGGAATAATCACTTCCCTTGATCTGCTGGCAATGCTTCTACTTATGCAATTAGACCATTTGCTGCTTTTATCAGACCATTAACTGTAACTCCTTTCGCTACACAGGCTCAACTTTCCTGAACTCTTGCTAGTTCATTGGCATGCTGCGACTCTGAAATTAACCACCTCCTTCTTTTATCCTAAACAGAAAGTGTCGCAAACACAAAACAGGTGGTTGCCTCTTCTTTTAATTACATTCTTTGCAACTGCTAGTCACTAGAGAGTCACTGTGCAATTCCTTGCTCTGCTGCTAATATCTGTAACCAGAATCCAGCAGCCTCGAGGGCATTCAGCTTTCTCTGCATGTGCCAACTTCCTTGTGTTTGCACTGAAGCAAACCTTTCCAGGGACATCTGTGCTCTTGCTTTTGACCCTTTGGCTACGTCTACACTGCCCCCTTTTACGAAAGGGGCATGCTAATTTTAAACTTCGTAATAGGGAAATCCGCGGGGGATTTAAATATCCCCCGCAGGATTTAAATAAAGATGTCCGCCGCTTTTCGGGGGATTTAAATATCCCCCGCGGGATTTAAATAAAGATGTCCGCCGCTTTTTTCCGGCTTGGGGAAAAGCCGGAAAAAAGCATCTAGACTGGCCCGATCCTCTGGAATAAAGCCCTTTTCTGGAGGATCTTATTCCTACTTTGATCTCTTATTCTGGTTACTTTGAAGTAGGAATAAGAGATCCTCCGGAAAAGGGCTTTATTCCGGATGATCGGGCCAGTCTAGATGCTTTTTTCCGGCTTTTCCCCAAGCCGGAAAAAAGCGGCGGACATCTTTATTTAAATCCCGCGGGGGATATTTAAATCCCCCGCGGATTTCCCTATTACGAAGTTTAAAATTAGCATGCCCCTTTCGTAAAAGGGGCCAGTGTAGACGTAGCCTTTGTGTAGACTGTCACCTCTGTTCCATTTCTGCCTTCCCCAGGGTTAGAAGTGAGCAAGCTGCTTATAGAAAAGGCTTGTGTGTGTCCTCTCTAAGCACTGCCCCAGTGCACTGAGAATATTAGGGACAGACTTAACCAGTAAAAATCATTGCTTGGGAGGAAGCTGTACCACCTAGATCTTGTAGTTGAAAATCTTTTGCTCAAGCTGGATTAAAATTGGTGCATCTCAATGTTAATTCATCCCTCTTATCATTGGTATGTCTCTCTTTCGAGGCTCAGTGGAACACCAGCAACCTATTCTGCCTTTAAACTTGTCCCTCTTCAAGCCACCCGGTCAGTATTTCCTCCATGTCATAATACAATAACATTTTTCAGCAGTGTGAGATGAAACAGACTGATGGGGTTGTCCTTTGATTTCTTCTACAACCTGTAGGCCCAGTTCTGCACGGCTTGGAGGACCTTTACTGAGGTTTGCAGCATTTTGAACTCTCATGGAGTCAAATGGACTTTGCTGATTCTGACCAGGTTTTTCTAGATATATAGTACAGGTTGAATGTCTCCAGTCCGGCACCCTTGGGACCTGACCAGTCCCGAACCAGAGAATTTTCCAAACCATGGGAGATCAATATTGTCTAGCAGCATTATCAACACTTCCACAGCTTACTAGGCTGTTAGAGGACACTTAGGGTAAATTAGAGCTAGGACTGGTGGCTGTAAACAAATGTTATGGGACCAAGGGAAACTTGGCCAGACATATGATAATTGGACAGCCAGCTAATTACAATAATTCCGCATGACAGATGTTGCTGGACCAGAGAGTTCTGGACTAGAGATGTTCAACCCGTATAATCATGGGAAATTTGACTAATTTGGGTCATACCAGGGTAGCAATGTTGCTGCTGCTTATTGTGCATAGTGGATAGATCATCATTTCTGTTAGTTTTGTATTATAGCTTTACTTAACTCCGGTTCTGGGAGGCCAATGGGCAAAAAAGAACATTTCTGTGCTCTTGACAGCAGGCTATTCAGATACTGACTTCACAGTGTTTTAGGGTTAAACAAAAAGTATATAGTCGTATAAATGTTTTGAGAGAAAATAGTTAATATAGGTTAACATCGATTTCTGCCATCACTACTCCAGCACAATGGATTATTCATGTCGGTATCTGGGTGTAGATACTATCTGAGAGTTCAGATTTCTGAGTTTGTTAATATCTGAAACAAAACAGGCACATGAGAACTGATGCATACAAAACCAAAATCCCAACTCCATCAATGACAAGACAATGCTGATTATTTTTAATTGAAATAACATTCTTCCTCAACCTACACACACAGTTGTTTAATCTTGGTAATCATTAATTGATGGAAA